GTGATAATGAGGTAATACCAACGACACTAATAATAACATTGCCACTCATACGAACAACACTTCTGATAGGAAGACGAAGAAGTATAAGATAATGAGGAGGAGGAGGAGGAAGAGAAGGAGAAGGTTGTGCGTGCCGACGAGCTCCCCCGGGGCCCGAAGGTCACTGGCTTCGACGCCTACCTGACGTCGGACATCCCGCAAGGCGGCTCCGGGGGGGAGACGGCGCCCAATGCCCCCCCTCTCTCGCCATGGGGGACAATGGTCTTGAGGGAAACGGGTCCTGAGGTTTTTCGCTGATTTCGGGCTCTCGGGGCCCTCCACGAGCCTCGGGACTGTCAGACAACGACTCAGGATGAGGAGCTCGTTCTTGGGGAAAGGCCCCAGGGTCCAGGATCCGTTTCCCTCAGCACCCGTTTCCCCCATGCTAACCCCTCCCCGCTGGATTCCGCTCGGGTGGCGTGGGGGGTCCCCTTCTCCCCCCGATGGCCCCTGCCTCTGTCCCGCCTGCTCCCCCGGTGCCCCCTCCACTCTCCGTTGCTTCTTAGCTGCCTCCCGCGGCACGGTATCGGGCCATGACCTCCTCCACCCGTCCGCACTGGTGCTCGCCCGCTCGCTCGCTCGCCTCCGCTCAGCCTCGTTTCGGCCGAGACGGGTCTGGCGTCGGCGGCGCCTCGGGCCGCGCTTCCGAGGGGCCCCAGCTGCTGGCCGAGGACCCTGCCGTCGCGCTGAGCTCGCCCCCGCGAGGCGAAGGTCAACAGGGCCCTCCCCGCATCCCCCCCTGCCCTCCTCGGAAGCGTCGGAGGGAGTCCAAGCGCCCTGGCGTGCGAATCGAGGGAAGAAGCGCGACGACCATGGCCAAGATGTCGCGGGACCTTGTCGATGCCGGTCTTGGTGATGGTCCCTGCCGTTCCGTCGCCGCTTCGTGAGGATGATCCACGAGTTGACGGTGACCACTAAGTACAGTGACCAAGATCGGCACCGTTGTTTCCGCGTTCAGTTTTGTTTTTCAATTGAAGTGCTCCTTCCGCGGCTCACACCTTGTCTACACGGGGAAATGTGGGGTTACCAGACTGCGCAATTGGGCCCCGAACTACAACAACAACAGCAGCGTCTCCCGCCTGATACTTCCTCACAGTTTGTTTCAAAATCTCCCTTGCGCGGGACGCCCTCAGAATTGATGCAGGAATCGCGCTCTCGCTTGGGACTTCCTCGCAATTTTTCTTAACGCCGCGCCCTCGACGCTCAGGAATTGCGCTCTCGCTCGGGTTTTTCCTCGATTCACTTGGGAGTCGCGCTATCGCTCGAAACGACCTCGCGATACATGCAGTACTCACGCTTCAGTAACCCGCCTGCTCGACCTGGCCGCTTGGGTCCGCCTTCTTCCCGGTCCGCACGTTAGGGTCTGTCCGCCCGATCGGCCCGTCTGGTTCTGCCACGTGCTTTCTGCTCCTAGCCCCCCTCCTGCAAATCCCGTACTCCATCCTTCTCCTTCCCCCTTCCATCCATCCTTTCTTCCCCTCCTAAAGTGGTTGCGCCAATTCCGCGCGGCAGGTAGGGAAGATATACCTTCAAGGGGGGGGGTTACGATCGAAGACGAAGAGGGCGGGTATCGAGGGTTTGGGATATACGTGTTGAATGGCACGCGAGCAGGTAAGAACGATCAGTCTTTAAATGATGGTTGATGTTGCTGCTGTTGTTGTTGCGCTGGTTGTCGTTGCTGTTGTTGCTGCTGTCGTCGTTGGTGTTCATATTATTGTTATTGTTGCTGGTGTGGTTGTTTTTTTTGGTTGGCTGCTGTTGCTGCTGCTGTTGTTGCTGTTGTTGATGTTGATTTTGTCGTGGTTGTTTTACGTCTCTTGTTCTTGTTTTTGTTTGTGGTGGTGGTGGTGTTGATGTTGTTGTTGCTATTGTTGTTTCTGCTGCTGCTGCTGTTGCTGCTGCTGCTGCTGTTGTTGTTGTTGCTGTTATTGTTGTTGTTGTTGTTGTTGTTGTTGTTGTTGTTGTTGTTGTTGTTGTGGTTGTTGTTGTTATTGTTGTTAAAACTTTTGTTTTCGAAGAATAAGTATTGTTGATCCCTCCGGTGCACATTGTATTTTTCAATTGAAGTGCCTCTCCCAGCGTTCGCACCCTGTTTTCAATCAGGGAAGGTCTTGAGGCTCAAGCTATGTTGTTGGCGCCCAGGTTTCAGCAACAACGGCTGAGACTTCCTCACAATTTAGCCAGGACCCCCGCTCCCGCCTGAAACTTCCTCGCATTTTATTCAGGAATCGCGCTCTCGCTTGGGATTTCTTTATCATTTACCAAGGAATCGCTCTCTCGGCGCTCTGGAGTCGCGCTCTCGCTGGAGACTTGCTTGCAAGTTACGCAAGAATAGCGCCCTTGCGTTGGAAGCTTATGCAATTTACTCAAGCGCCGCGCTCCCGACACTCCTGCACCCAGGAGTCGCGCTCACGCTTCGGACTCCCTCACAGATCATTTAGGAATCTGGATCTCGCTGCCCTTCGTGGCCCCGTTGCAGCCCTTCGTGGGCCCCTCGCTGCCATTCGTGGCCCCGTTGCAGCCCTTCGTGGGCCCCTCGCTGCCCTTCGTGGCCCCGTTGCAGCCCTTCGTGGCCCCCGCGCTGCCCTTCGTGGCCCCGTTGCAGCCCTTTGTGGCCCCCGTCGCTGCCCTTCGTGGCCCCACCCCTTCGCGGCCCCCGTCGCTGCCCTTCGTGGCCCCCGTCGCTGCCCCTCCTGGCCCCCTCGCTTCCCTTCGTGGCCCCCTCGCAGCCCCTCGTGGCCCCCTTCGCTGCCCTTCAGTGGCCCCGTTGCAGCCCTTCGTGGCCCCCTTGCTGCCATTCGTGGCCCCGTTGCAGCCTTTCGCGGCCCCTCGCTGCCCTTCGTGGCCCCATATACGCGCGCCCTTCGTTTCCCCCGCTCGTTCGCGCCAGTCGTGGCCCCATATGAATGCCTTTCGTGGCCCCGCTGTGGCCCCCTCGCTGCCCTTCGTGGCCCCGTTGCTGCCCTCAGTGGCCCCGTCCTTGTCTTGCGCGGCCCAATATACGTATGCCCTTCGTGGCCCCCGCTCGTTCGCGCCAGTCGTGGCCCCATGTTCATGCCCTTCGTGGCCCTGCTGTCGCCCTTTGTGGCCCCGTCGCTGTCCTACGTGGCCCAGTTACTACCCTCAGTGGCCCCGTCGTTGCCTTCTGCGGTCCCGCATTACCTGCCCTTCGTGGCCCCCGCTCGTTCGCGCTCTTCGTGGCCCCATACGCATCCCCTTCGTGTCCCCGCTGTCGCCCTTCGTGGCCTACTTCGTGCCCATCGTGGCCTTGCTGTCGTTCTCTCTCTCGCTCTCGCTTTCGCTCGTCGTCGTCGTCGTCGTCGTCGCCGTCGTCGTCGTCGTCGTCGTCGTCGTCGTCGTCGTCGTCGTCGTCGTCGTCGTGGTGGTCGGTCCCCTGTCCGTCCCTCTTGGGGTCGTGGTGCCGCCGCTCAGCGCTGCCGCTGGCCAGGCCGACGGTCCGCGGCCGCCCCGCCGCTTGCCGGGGCCCGGCCTGCAGGGAAGAAAGGTATACCCCCCAAAAGGGGTACGATCGAAGACGAAGAGGGCGGGTATCGAGGTTTTGGGAAATACGCGTTAACGGACACTCGAGCAGATAAGAGCAAACATTCTTTAAACAATTGTTGAACATTATTTATTCTAAAGAATAATTATTGTTGGGCCCCCTGGTGCGCGCCCCCCCTGCGCCGCCTAGGCCGCAGCTACATTTTCATCATTTTCGTGAGGAAGCCTCAGAAAAGAGGGTGTGTACAGGATCCGGTTGTTTTGTTGTAATCCGCTTTCCCTTGCAAAAAACAATAGAAAATGACATTTCTTGTTCTAATATAATCAAATTTCAAGAATCCCTTGCAAAAAATAAGGTAAAGTGGACATTCGCGCGCGCAAGACGAAATCCTTCCAAAACCTTAGTGTTCGCAGCGATTTTAACATAAAAACATAAAAAAAAAAAAAACCAATGGTTTTTCAACAAAAAATTGTCAAAATCTCATCCCGCGCGCTCTTGCGGATTCGTAGGAAACCCAACACTTTTTAAACATTTCTGTCAAACGGGCTTTTGCGAGCAACTTTTTCGAACTTCTGCGACAACGGTTGCGCACCTGCCAGGGCCATCATCCCTGTCAAATAATACCATGCGGGACACATTCGTTTTTTCTTCGCGCGCGCACGCCGTCGTCGTCGGCCGCGGGGCCCTGAATAGTAGCCACGGTCGTCCGCATGCCACGAAGTGAAGTGTCCGAACGTCATAGGGCGGGAAGCTGGGTGTGGGTGGTGGCGAAGAGTCGTTTGGAAATTTGGTAGAGCTTGAACCGGCCCCCCCACAAAGTGGGGGTATTGCCCGCCTCCTATGAAAACCCTGGCACTGGTGAGAACGGAGTGTCCCCACGTGCTAGTAATTGTTGTTGTTGTTGTTGTTGTTGTTGTTGTTGTTGTTGTTGTTGTTGTTGTTGTTGTTGAACATTATTTATTCTAAAGAATAATTATTGTTGGGACCCCTGGTGCGCGACCCCCTCGCCGCGCCTAGGCCGCAGCCTCATTTTCATAATTTTCGTGAGGAAGTCTCAGGTAAAACGATGTCATCCAGATCCGGTTGTTTTGTTGACGCCCGCTTTCCCTGTCAAAAAACACTATAAAATGACATGTCTTGTTCTAACATAACCAAACTTCAAGAATCCTTTGCAAAAAATGACACGAAGTGCACACTCGCGCGCGCAAGATGAAATCCTTCCAAAACCTTAGTTTTCGTAGCGATTTTAACATAAAAACATGAAAAACCCAATGGTTTTTCAAAAAAAAAAGTTTCAAACATTCATCCCGCGCGCTCTTGCGGATTTCTGAGGAAACGCAATATTTGTTCAACATTTCTGTCAAACGGGCTCTTGCGAGCAACTTTTTCACGTGCTTCGAATTTCTGCAACAACGGTTGCGCGCATGGCAGGGCCATCATCCCTGTCAAATAATACCATATGGGACACATTCGTTTTGTCTTCGCGCGCGCACGCCGTCGTCGTCGGCCGCGGGGCCCTGAATAGTAGCCACGGTCGTCCGCATGCCACGAAGTGAAGTGTCCGAACGTCATAGGGCGGGAAGCTGGGTGTGGGTGGTGGCGAAGAGTCGTTTGGAAATTTGGTAGAGCTTGAACCGGCCCCCCCACAAAGTGGGGGTATT